AGGTCTGGTGGATCCCTGGATCCTGGTGGATCCCAACATCTTGGTCCATGGTGGACACAAGTGTCCAGGTCTGGTGGATCCCAGGATCCTGGTCCCTGGTCATCCCAAGCCTCCAGGTCCCTGGTGGCCCCATCCAGGCCTGGTGGACCCATGTGTCCAATTCTCAGTGGTCCTGAGTGTCCTCTTCCTAGTGAACCCAAGTGGACACAGGTGTCCAGATCTACTGGATCCGATGATCCTCTTCCCTGATGGATCCCAGGATCCTGGTCTCTCACGGCCCCAAATGTCCAGCTGTGGCAGATCTCAGGATCTTGGTCTCTGGTGGACACAGCTGGTCCCTGGTGGATCCTGTGATCCTGGTCCCTGGTGGACACAGCTGTCCAGGTCTGGTGGATCCCATGATCCCGTTCCCTGGTGGATCCCACGATCCTGGTCCCTGCTGGACCCCCCCATCATGTCCTTGCTGTACCCAGTGTCCAGGTGTCCACATGTCCTCAATGGCCACCCTCACTCCCGGTGGCCCCAGGGGTGTGTCCCCCAGTGTCCCCAGTGCCGAGTGATCCCACCCCAGGTGGGGGGCGTGGCTGATCCTTCCCCCTCCACCCCCCAGTGGTCCCACACCTTCATACTCATGGACATGGCCGGGCTCCAGGACTACGAGCTCTTCTTCAAGACGCAGGAGCTGAAGAAGAAGTGGCTGGAGCAGTTCGAGATGGCCCTGTAGGTTCCTCCAGCCCCGGGGGGGGTCACCTGCCCCACTGAGTGGTCCCGGGGGGGACCAAGTTTGCCCCCACCAGACTCAGCTTCCCCCCCATCTCTCCCCAGCTCCAACATCTTCCCCGAGCACGCCCTGGCCGACGGACACGACTTCCAGATGTTCTCCTTCGAGGACACCACGTCCTGCAGGGCCTGTCAGATGTTGCTGAGGTAGGACCCCAAAATGACGTCCCCCACCCTCCTGGGGAGGTGGGAGGTGAGACGGGAGACAGGGTTGTGGGGCTCTGGGAGAAGGGGAGGCCCCAGGTGGGGGATTGGAGGTGGGGTGGGGTCTTGATGGGTCAGTTGGGTGAGTTGAGGTCAAGGTGGGTCAAGGTGTGAGTTGGAAATGGAGGGGACAGGTTGAGGCCTGAGTAGGTCAAGATAATGGGGGATTGAGTCTTGGGGGGATTGAGAGCTGGGGGGAGTCAAGGAACCTCTTGGGGGTCAAGGCCTGAGTGGCCCCAAGGTGGGTCAAGGGTTGGGTGGAGGTCAAGGTGGGTCAAGACTAAGGTGAATCAAGTCTTAGATGAAGGTCAAGGTGGGTCAAGGGTTGGGTGGAGGTCAAAGTGGATCAAGGTTGATTGGTCAGTCAAGGTTGGTTGGAGGATAATGAGGTGGGCCAAGACTGAGGTGGGTCAAGACCAAGGTGGATCTAGGCCTGGGTGGACCAAGGCCAAGCTGGGTCCCTCCTGGATGGGTTCAAACCATGGGGATTGATCCTGGTGGGGTCGAGACCAACATGGGCCAAGAACTAGGTAGGTCAAGGGCTGGATTGGCCAACCGGGTGTGTTGGGGATTGGTCAGGCCTGGGTTGGCTCAGGTGGGTGTGTCTGGTGGTGCCCTCAGTGACTGTGACCCAGTGTCTCCCCTTGTGCCCCCGTGTCCCCAGGGGCACTTTCTACCAGGGCTATCGCTGCAGCCGCTGCCGGGCCCCCGCCCACAAGGAGTGTCTGGGCCGGGTGGGGACGTGCGGCAAGGCTGGAGCAGGTGAGGGGCATCATGGGATACGGGGGGGTATTAGGGGATGGGGGGGAGAGGCTCTGGGGGGGAAACAGGGGATGGGGAGGAGTGGGGTATTGTGGGACACAAGATGGCTGCCACTGAGTATCATGGGACACAAGATGGCTGCCATTGAGTAACAGGAGATACAATATGGCTGACACAGCACAGGGCATTGTGGGATACAAGATGGCTGCCACTGAGTATCAAGGGATACAATGTGGCTGCCATTGAGTACCATGGGATACAATATGGCTGACACAGCACAGGGCATTGTGGGATACAAGATGGCTGCCACTGAGCATCATGGGATACAAGATGGTGGACACAGTCCAGGCCATTGTGGGATATCTTAGCAGCGGCCACCCATGGAGCCTAATTAACCCAGAGTGTTAATTAAGGGGGGTGCTAATTAACCCCAGGATTAATTAGGGGAGGGGCTAATTAGCCTCATGTCTTATTAGCCCCATCCTTAGAGGGGGAATAATTAGAGGAGGGGCTAATTAGCCCCAAGCATTAACTAGGAGAGGAGCTAATTACCCCATCATTAACTAGGGGAGGGTCAATTACCCCACAATTAATTAGGGAGCACCAATTACCCTCATGATTATTACAGTAGAATTAATTACTCACTCATTAATTAGGGGAGCACTAATTACCCCACTAACGAGTGTTTCCTCTCCCTCTGTCCCCCCCCAGATTCCGGCTCTGGCCCCAGGAAGGTAGCGGGGAAATGGTTCAAAATGGGCTGAAAAGGCCCGAATTTGGGGGGTGGGGGTCTCTGGGGGGGGTTCAGTCCCACCCCTGCCACCCCCCGACCCCTCCCCCTCCAATGGAGGTCCTGTTGCCCCTCCCCCACTCACGGGGGTCCCGTTGCCCCCCCCCAGAACAAGTCGCAGCGTCCGGGACCCGACAAGAAACGGGGGGACCTGGGTGAGGAATTTTGGGGGGGTCCCGAACCCTGGGGTCAAAATTTGGGGTGGGAGGGTGGGTCTGGCACCCTTCGGATTGATTTTGGGGGGCAAAGGGGGGGTCTGACCCCCCAGTCCATGTCTGGGGGGGGCTCAGGGGGGTCTGACACACCCCCCCAGTCCATGTTGGTGGGGTTGTGGGGGTCTCTGACCCCCCCGGGTTGATTTTGGGGGGGCAAAGGGGGGTCTGATCCCCCCGTAGCCCATATTTGGGGGTGGCACAGGGGGGTCTGACCCCCCCAGTCCATATTTGGGGGTGGCACAGGGGGGTCTGACCCTCCCAGTCCATATTTGGGGGTGGCACAGGGGGGTCTGACCCCCCCAGTCCATGTTTGTGGGGTTGTGGAGGTCTCTGACCCCCCCTGAGTTGATTTTTGGGGGGGTGACCACCCCTAGTCCATGTTTGGGGGGGGGATCAGCGGGGTCTGACCCCCTCCCAGTCCATATTTGGGGGTGGCACAGGGGGGGTCTGACCCCCCCCCCCCAGCCCATATTTGTGGATTCGAGGGGATCTCTGGCCCACCCCGAGGTTTGGGGGTCTCGGGGGTCTCCATTGACCCCCCCCGTGGCCCCCCCAGGGCTCCCCAAGGTTGAGACCACCCAACCCTACAGCGGCGTCCCCCCCCCGCCGGGGGTCCTGGGACCCCCCCTGCGCCTCAGCCCCGGTGACGTCATCGAGGTCACGGCGGCCGAGGCCGAGGAGCTCTGGTGGCAGGTTGGGGGGGTGGGGGGGGGATATGGGACCCCCGGGGTGGGGGTGGGACCCTCAGGAGGGAAATGGGACCCCCAGGGTGGGTCTGGGACCCTCAAGAGGGAAATGGGACCCCCAGGGTGGGTCTGGGACCCTCAAGAGGGAAATGGGACCCCTGGGGTGGGAAATGGACCCTTAGGGTGGGTCTGGGACCCTCAAGAGGGAAATGGGACCCCTGGGGTGGGGACGGGACCCTTAAGAGGTAAATGAGACCCCTGGGGTGGGGACGGGACCTTCAGGAGGGAAATGGGACCCTCAAGAGGGAAGGGGGACCCCTGGGATGGGGACGGGACCCTCGGGGTGAGTTTGGGACCCTCAGAAGGGAAATGGGACCCCCAGGGTAGGGATGGGACCCTCAGGAGGGAAATGGGACCCCCGAGGTGGGGATGGGACCCTCAGGAGGGAAATGGGACCCCCCGGGTGGGGGTGGGACCCTCAAGAGGGAAATGGGACCCTCAAGAGGGAAGGGGGACCCCTGGGATGGGGACCGGACCCCCGGGATGGGGGTGGGAACCTTAGGAGGGAAATGAATCCCTCGGGGTGAGTTTGGGACCCTCAAGAGGGAAATGGGACCCTCAAGAGGGAAATGGGACTCTCAAGAGGGTGAGGAGTGGATCCTCAGGAGGGAAATGGGACCCTCCGGGATGGGAGCGGGACCCTTGGGAGGGGACGGGACCCCCGGGATGAGAGTGGGACCCTCAGGAGGGAAATGGGACCCTTGGGGTGGGAAGTGGACCCTCAGGGTGGGGTCGGGACCCTCAGGAGGGAAATGGGACCAACCCCAGTCCCACATTTCCCAACCCCAATCCTGGATTTCCCATCCAAATCCCACATCTCCCAAGCCCGATCCCTCATTTCCCAACTCTAGTCCCACATTTCCCAACTCCTAGCTCGGATTTCCCCATCCCACATTTCCCAATCCCGGATTTCCCAGCCCCAATCCCACATTTCCCAACCCCCACCCTCCCTTTCCCTGAGGCGGGGGCGGGACCCCCGGGGGTGGGTCTGGGACTCTCAGGAGGGAAATGGGACCCTCGGGCTGGGGAAGGGACCCCCGGGATGGGGGTGGGACCCTCAGGAGGGAAATGGGACCCTCAGGGTGGGGAAGGGACCCTCAGGAGGAAAACAGGACCCCTGGGGGGGGACAGGACCCTCGGGGTGAGTTTGGGACCCTCAAGAGGAAAATGGGACCCCCGGGGTGGGGACAGGACCCTCAAGAGGGAAAGGGGACCCCTGGGGTGGGATTGGGACCCCCATGGTCCTACTGGGATGGGGTTGGGACCCCCATGGCCATACTGGGATGGGGTTGGGACCCCCATGGCCATACTGGGATGGGGTTGGGGTCCCCATGGTCCAATTGGGATGGGGTTGGGACCCCCATGGTCATAGTGGGTTGGGGTTGGGACCCCCATGGTCCTACTGGGATGGGATTGGGACCGCCATGGACCTACTGGGATGGGGAACAGACCCCCATGACCATACTGGGATGGGGTTGGGGTCCCCATGGCCATACTGGGATGGGGAACAGACCCCCATGGTCCTACTGGGATGGGATTGGGGCCCCCATGGTCCAACTGGGATGGGGTTGGGACCCCCATGGCCATACTGGGATGGGATTGGGACCCCCATGGCCATACTGGGATGGGGTTGGGACCCCCATGGCCATACTGGGATGGGGACCCCCGTGGTCCTTCCCACCCCCTGGAAAGGACCCCCATGACCAGAGGGGACCCCCGTGGTCCTTCCCAACCCCCTGGGGGTCTGGGGGCACCCCCTGATACCCCCCGGACCCCCCAATCCTCCCCCCCCAGGGCAGGAACGTGGCCAGTGGCGACCAGGGCTGGTTCCCCAGTGGTGCCGTGAGACCCTTCGTGGCTGTGAGTTTGGGGACCCCCAAACCTCCCCCCCAGGGACTCCCCGACCCTCCCCGGTGGCCCTGAGGGGTTTGGGGGGGGTCCTGGAATTGGGGGGGGGTCTCAGAGGAATCACCTGGTGATTCTCCGACCCCAAAATCTACTCCCTCCCCAGGGACCCCCCAACTCGTGTCCCCACAGGGGGTTTGGGGGTTCCCGGGATTTGGGGGGTCCTGGGATTTGGAGGGAGTCTCAGAGGAATCACCTTGTGCGTCCCCCCGACCCCAAAATCTGCTCCCTCCCCAGGGACCCCCCAACTCGTGTCCCCACAGGAGGTTTGGGTGTTCCCGGGATTTGGGGGGTCCCGGGTTTGGGGGGGGGGGTCTTGGAGGGGTCACCTCGTGTGTGTGTGTGTCCCCGACCCCAAAATCTGCTCCCTCCCCAGGGACCCCCCAACTTGTGTCCCCACAGGGGGTTTGGGGTTCCTGGGATTTCAGGGGGTGTCTTGGAGGGGTCACCTCGTGTGTGTGTGTCCCCCCCACCCCGATCCCAAACTCTGTTCCCTCCCCCCCCCAGGTGCCATTGCCGGATCTCTCCGTGTACCCCTGGTCAGTGCTGGGGACCCCCCACTGCCCCCCAAACCCTCCTCTGGGACCCTCCAAACCCCTCCTCTAGGACCCCCCAAAATCCTCCTCTGGGACCCCCATTGCCCCTGGGACCCCCCAAAATCCTCCTCTGAGATCCCTCAAATCCTCCTCTGGGCCCCCCATTGCCCCTGGGACCCCCCCCAAAATCGTCTTATGGGACCCCCCAAATCCTCCTCTGGGCCCCTCATTGCTCCTGGGACCCCAAAATCCTCCTCTGGGCCCCTCATTGCTCCTGGGACCCCAAAATCCTCCTCTGGTACCCCCCATTGTCCCTGGGATCCTGAAATCTTCCCCTGGAATCCCAAAATCCTCCCCTGGGGCCCCCAAATCCTCCCCTGGGATCCTAAAATTCTCCTCTGGGACTCCGAAATCCTCCTCTGGGCCCCCCACAAAATCCTGCTCTGGGCCCCCCATTGCCCCTGGGACCTCCCCAAATCCTTCTCTGGGACCCCAAAATCCTCCTCTGGGACCCCCATTGCCCCTGAGACCCCAAAATCCTTCTCTGGGACCCCCAAATCCTCCTCTGGGTCTCCCATTGCCCCTGGGATCCCCCAAATCCTCCTCTGGGACCCCAAAATCCTCCTCTGGGCCCCCCATTGTCCCTGGGACCCCCAAATCCTCCTCTGGGACCCCAAAATCCTCCTCTGGGCCCCCCATTGCCCCTGGGCCCCCCAAAATCCTTCTCTGGGCCCCCCGTTGCCCCTGGGCCCCCCAAAATCCTCCTCTGGGCCCCCCATTGACCCTGGGACCCCAAAATCCTGCCCTAGGACACCCCACATCCTCCTCTGGGCCCCTCTCCCTCGGGGACCCCGCCCCCCCGACCCCCCGTGGGTTCTCTTTGGGGTCTCAGACCCCCCGAACCCCCCGTGGGTTCTCTTTGGGGTCTCAGAACCCCCGAACCCCCCCGTGTGTGCTCTTTGGGGTCTCAGAGCCCCCGAAACCCCCCAGAGCAGGGGGCGTGGTGCTATTTGGGATCTCAGAGCCCCCAAACCCCCTCGTGGGTGCTCTTTGGGGTCTCAGAGCCTCCGAACCCCCCGGGGGTGCTCTTTGGGGTCTGAGATCCCCCAAACCACCCCGTGGGTGCTCTTTGGGGTCTCTGAGCCCCCGAACCCCCCCAAGCTCCCCCGTGGGTTCTCTTTGGGGTCTCAGAGCTCCCAAACCGCCCCGTGGGTGCTCTTTGGGGTCTCAGAGCCCCCAAACCCCCCCGAGCTCCCCCGTGGGTGCTCTTTGGGGTCTCAGAGCCCCCGAACCCCCCCTAGCCCCCCCGTGGGTGCTCTTTGGGGTCTCTGAGCCCCCAAACCGCCCCGTGGGTGCTCTTTGGGGTCTCAGAGCGCTCAACTCCCCCCGCGGGTGCTCTTTGGGGTCCGTGACGCCCCTTCCCCCGCAGGTACGCGGGTCCCATGGAGCGGGGGGGGGCGGAGCAGGTCCTGGCCCCCCGCTCCGACGGCGCGTTCCTGGTGCGGCAGCGGGTCAAGGATTCGGGGGAATTCGCCATCAGCATCAAGTAGGGCCCGGGGAACCCCTTTTTGGGGTCGGGGGGGGACTCACAGAGTCCCCGGTGACCCCCCACGGGTGTGTCCCCCCCTCAGGTACCGCGGGGAGGTGAAGCACATCAAGGTGATGACGGGGGAGGGGCTCTATAGGGTCACCGACAAGAAGGTGTTCAAGGGGCTGGTGGTGAGTGAGGGACACCCCCCCCCAGAGACCCCACAGCGCTGCGGGACCCCCCCGGGGGGATTTGGGGGATTGAGTGTTTTGAGTGTGATGGCCCCGTGGTGGGGTTGGGGGTTTTTGGGGTGTGGTGCCTCCCCAGTGCTCTTTGGGGGTGTTTTAGGGGGTTATTTTCCCCCGGTGGGTTCAGGGACTGTTGTGGGGGTGATGACCCCACTGCAGGGTTTGGGGTGGTGTCCCCCTGATGGACTCTGGGGATGTTTTGGGGGTGAGGACCCCACAGTGGGGTTTGGGGTGGTGTCCCCCTGATGGACTCTGGGAGTGTTTTGGGGGTGATGACCCCATTGCAGGGTTTGGGGTGGTGTCTCCCTGATGGGCTCTGGGGGTGTTTTGGGGGTGATGACCCCACAGTGGGGTTGGGGGTTTTTGGGGTGTGGTGCCTCCCCAGTGCTCTCTGGGGGTGTTTTAGGGGGTTGTTTCCCCCCCCCCCCCCGGTGGGTTCAGGGGTGTTGTGGGGTTGGTGACCCCGTGGGGTTGGTGACCCCGTGGTGTCCCCGTGTCCCCCAGGAGCTGGTGGAGTTCTACCGGCGCAGCTCCCTCAGGGATTGTTTCAAGGCCCTGGACACGACGCTCGTGGTGCCCTTCAAGGAGCCCGAGAGCCGCGCGGGACCCCGAGCCCCGGGTACGGCCTGGGGGGGTCCCACAGTGGGGTGGGGGGGATGGACACGTTGGGATGGACATGGAGGGGTCCCACAGTGGGGTGGGGGGGATGGACATGTTGGGATGGACATGGAGGGGTCCCACAGTGGGGTGAGGGTGGGACGGACACATTGGGATGGACACGGAGGGGGGATGGACACATTGGGAGGGTCACGGAGGGGTCCCACATCAAGGGTGAGGGTGTGATGGACACGTTGGGATGGATATGGAGGGGTCCTGGGGAGGGATGGACACATTGGGATGGACATGGAGGGGTCCTGGGGAGGGATGGACACATGGGGATGGACATGGAGGGGTCCCACAGCGGGGTGAGGGGGTGTGGATGCAATGGGATGGACATGGAGGGGTCCCACAGTGGGATAGAGGTGGGATGGACACATTGGGATGGACACATTGGGATGGACACATTGGGATGGAAACATTGGGAGGGTCATGGAGGGGTCCCACAGTGGGGTGGGGAGGATGGACACATTAGGATGGACATGGACATTGGGATGGACATGGAGGGGAGATGGACACATTGGGATGGATATGGACATTGGGATGGACATGGAGGGGAGATGGACACATTGGGATGCATATGGAGGGGGGATGGACATGTTGG